GGTTTCCCCAAGCAAGAATGTTTTAAGCAGATTTTGAGATGGAGGGAAGAGGCCATGAACTCAGCTGTTCAAGTGGTGGACAAATTTCAGCAATTCAATACTTTAGTTGGGCACCAATATACAAATCAGCTGTTCGAGAGGAAGGCTGACATTTTCAATACTTTATTTGCTTTTCACATACATTTTTATTTATGTCTCATGATGGGGTGTTATAAAAAGGAGTAATAAAAGTCATTTGTTCAAGTCACAAGTGGATCGATGAGTGTATTTCAGAGCTGTAATTTACCTTTTCCATTACACTTATTGTGTGATTTCAACAGAGCACCATAAAATCAGCTGCTTCCTGCTTAAGTAGTGATTGAAAAGGCTTTATACAGCTATCACATGTCAACCTGGATTGAAAATTGGATTTGAACAATTAGACTAGACTCTTTCTTATTCTCCTTCTCTTTTTTTCTTCTGCCTCTTCTTTTTCTTCTACCGCTTTTTTTTCTTTCTCCTAAGTTCTTAACCGTTATTCTCTTTCCTTTTGCGTCTCTTTCCCCCTTTTTTCCTTAAATGTCTTCTTCTTCCTGAGGTGGTTTACTATGTATCAGTGCTGGATTAAATTGCAGAACAAGGTTGTAGTGAAAATGCTCACTTTAGCCTGAAATTGTCCTAAATATTCTTTAATTCCCACTTGCTGTTAGGAAATGAATGCATGTAGGCATAATTGCTTCACATTTTATTGACATGCATCATAGTACTGAAAAGTAAAAGTCAAACTTGTTTTTGTTTTGTTTAAATTAAAAAATGGGGTCGGGGAGGGTTCTCGTCAATATACATGTCGCATATCTGTGCATGATACTACAGCAAATGAAGACCATTATCAAATAATTTTAAAAATCATTTAAATATTCTAATGAGTATTCATATTGGCATATATTGAACATTGCTGCACTGAATAAGCTTATTTGCTTGAAAAGACTGCAAATGCAGGTGGTTATTACAAGCCTATATGAACATGAACAATGAACAAAACCAATAGCACACCTTGCAATATATAGATCTGCTCTGGTACTGATTTGCCTTGAAAACAGGAAGAAAGTGAACTGTTAGTCACTTTCTATTGTATTTCAACTACCACGTTTCAGGGTCAATGACCCCCAATGTACATTAAAAAGAGAGGATGAAATTCAGACAATACCAAGGTGCAGTCAGATATCAGTTTACAAAAATTACTATTTACCACTCTCATGAGTGAAAGTGAAACAAAACATGTAAATCTTGTATGAAATCAATAGAAGAGAAGGGAGGGAGAGAGAGAGAGAGAGAGAGAGAGAGAGAGAGAGAGAGAGAGAGAGAGAGAGAGAGAGATAGAGAGAGAGGGGGAGGGGCAGACATACAGACTGAGACAGACGCAAGACAGACAGAGAGAGTTAGAGATAGACATAGCAAAACAGAGAGAGAGAGAGAGAGAGAGAGAGAGAGAGAGAGAGAGAGAGAGATAGAAATAGACATAGCGAGGCCATGGCAGACCTGCCAACCTCTGGAGTTCAAAAACTGTATTCTTTAGTCCCAAAAGTTGTATTTTACTGACAAAAGTTGTATTCTTGAAAATAAACACGGATTGATACCAAGATCAATGCCTCTTACAGTTTCTACCTACAGGAACAATTTTTGTTATTGATCATTGGTTGAATATGCATGATTTTGTCATGACTGGTGTGTTCGATGAACCAATGAACATCCCCAAATTGCCAATGTGAGATACTTGTAGGATACTTTACAGGAAAGAATGGACATTCTGCCATTGAAAATGGCGGACGCACACACAAAATGTTAATTAAAAAAAATAAATTGAAAATCGTATTTTATTAAGGAAAATCGTACTGTCGTATTTGCTTCTAAAAATCATACTAAATATGACTAAATCGTACTGGTTGGCAGGTCTGCCATGGTCCACGTCAAAACAGACAGAAACAAGGAAAGAGAGAGAGAGAGAGAAACAAATGCCAGGGCATGTCCATTCATTATGTATGTACCCTGTATATGCCCTGGTATGAAATGATGGCATGTATTTCTTCGTCCTTGGAACAGAAAGATTAGATTCATGATAGTTGATACATTGTACATGTACACAATACAGTCAGGGTAATCATGTAAATCACTTTGTGATGAAACTTGTACAAAACCACACATTTCCCTCCAAAACAAAGAAAGTTGCAAGAAAGCTGCTCCCTGATATATACGGTCATTACACATGCTTTATACCGGTAATTACACAATTTTTCCTGTTTTGCCCTTAAGCCCTACATCTGACAATGAACTGCAGAACAAGTACAGTGGCTATACAGCATGTGACATGTAGGCCTTATTGACAAATGAAAATACCAAGGTTCCTGGAAATATTATGCCAGATGACAGGAAGAAAGGGTTTAGATGGTAGGATTAGTCTAGACAATGACCTACATGTAACACTAACAGGCCTTATAACATTGTACTACAACACTGTGATGATGATCCTTCCCCATTTCATTTCCTTCTGAACTGGTCCTTTTTTTCCCCAGTTGTTTTCCCTTTTCCCATTTCTCATTTTTTTCAATCATACCGGTCTAGCTCTCGAAAGCTCAAACAGGGCTTTGGTAAAAAAAAGAAAAAAAAGACCCAATAAATTACATAAATATATCGCTGAGAGAAAATCAAAGTTCTACAGCAACATTTTCCAAAGGAGTACCCGAAAAACAGAAAAGTATTTTACACTAGATGTACCATAAATCTCTGTGTATAAGGCGCACCCCTATTTGGGGGAAAAGAAAGGAAAAAAAATTGTTGTTGTTTTGTTTTGTTGCCGAAAACCCACGCGGGGAAGGACTTTCATTTAACATTGAGGTGCAGTTGAAGGTGCCGATTTGTGCTTGTGAACTTGTCACAAATAATAGTAACAATGTTGTTTTTAGAATAATGTGTAAGATCATTAATGTAAATTAAAAACAGTAGAGTACCTAGGATAGAACCTTGTGGTACGCCATGAATTATTATTATAAACTACATATTGAGATCTATTAGAAAGATTACTTTCAAACCAAGATGACAGACAAATTTGAACGTTGTTGTAGTTTCCAAATGGTGAGTCAACACACAGATTACTGAGCTGGGAGACATTGCCAGGCATAGCGCCGGGCATAAATCGTAACTTAATTATCTTTTTTGTACCTGTGTAGAAGACGCCCCCGACTTTCAAATTTTTTCAGCGGCAAAAAAGTGTGCCTTATACACAGAGATTTACGGTACATGTATGATTCTTGAAATTAATTAGAAGTCCCCCATCCGTCACCAACCCCATAGTTCTCAAATTTCCAAACCAGTGTAAACAGAAATTTCTGTGTGCAAGGACTCTTTTAGGATTTGAGCTAATTCGCTCACCGTATTCTTTTTTCACTCCTCCAAGCTGGAAACAGTTGGCAGGTATGTTAGTACCTCATCACGTTAAACAGCATGTGCACCTTCAGTCTAGCTCCAATCTTTTTAACAACGCAAATTCATCCTCTCATATCTATTTTGAGTTCTTGATGATCTCTACCTAACACTCCCAGTTGCAGACCTCTCTATACATATGTCAAACTTCTGCATCTCACATACCTCTTTAATGAATACAGGAAGGATCATTAAATATACTTAGAAGGTCAACTGAACAAGGGATGAGACCAACTTGCCTCATTAGAAGAGTCATCTATGGAGCAATCCCATCTGTGACTGCTGTCTAAGTATCAACAGTAATTAAAGCAAGAGTGGATACCCCGAGAATATTTCCACAAACCTTAATATCTGTCTTCATTTATTTTGGTCAACAGGTCTATTCTAACTTGCACTTGACTGTACTTCCTTTCTTTCATTTAAAGACAAATTAAAAAACCTAGCAATGACAAAAACCTTATTAGCCTGTAACGATCTCATTAGCCTGTATCAATCTCATTAGTCCTAGAATATATCCAATTTTAGTGACTGTTAAAGGTATATTTGGAAAGCTCTTTATTAGATTGGAACATTGCCCATAGACTTCTGAATCTATACCTAGACGCTAAATACAGGAACCACCAACTTGATATAAGCAGTGGTGTGAGTGTGTGTAATTGGTTTTTTTACAGACCTGTTTCAATCAGATATGATTATTTCATCTGGGTCCGACTTTTAACATCACCATCCAATAGAAGATGGGTTTACATGTATATATATATATATATATATATATATGTCTACCTTTTATAGTACCCAGAAATTTAACCCAAAGCATACATTGTATGTATGACACATTAAAGCTTATCTGCCATAGTTTACAGGAGGGATCGGACCGCCCTGCAAGGTCACTGGACAGGTGGTTATCTCATTAACTCAGCTCTCAGTTAACATAAGAAAAAGAGGATCATGGGGGACCAATGGTCACCGATTAGGCATTGTTTGTTATATAGAGGGAGCAAGTAGCTACAAGTAGTGCAGTGGGCCTTTAAAAAAATAATCAAATTATTTAGGGGCAAACACATTTTACAGTTGCATACAAATTTAAATCAAACATTTGCAACTGTTTTTATAATTAGAAAGCTGACATTGTCCCTTATTGGATATTTATCATGATGGACAATAATATATCTACATCTACCATAGATAATGTTTGTGTATATCATGTAGAATATATTCAAAGAGATGACACAACAGATGACACAAGATGTAAAGTCAACAAAAGATGCAGTGAAAGGTTTCTTCTGATAAAGATGGAGTTCTCCTTGCGATGATCATTTAATAGAATAACACTAACTGCTTAGAGGACTAGCACTGAAACCAAAATAACACACCACACCACCACCACCACCACCAACCACCACCACCAACCACCACCACCACCACCACCACCACCACCACCACCACCACCACCACCACCACGTAACTGTGCCATTTTCAGAATTGTGCCCCCCCCCCCTGGATTCACCCTTGGTGTATAAACAGAGACATTGACAGTCACTTACCTGGATGGCCTGTCCAACTTTCTTGACAGAGGACACAGGTGAGAGGATGTTGGCCAGAGAACCGACCCTGACCATTGACCGGTTACGCTTGTTCCCCTGTAGATAGGAATATACAGATAAATGGTTATTAATACATGGACATCAGGGCAGCTCCACATGCTGACATAACAGTCTGAATTGAAATACAACCCTTTCAAGGAATATCATCATTATGCAATTTATAAGCATTTTACACATTTTATATTGCTCTTTCTGAGGATTGAAATGGGTGATACAAATGTTGCAAAATTGTTTTTGAGTTTCTGATAGTAAAACTCTATTATCAAATAAACATTTACCTTACTTGTATTAAAGAGATCTGTTGCTAGCACCATGAGCGTCCCTGGACAGTGTGTGCGCATTTTGAGTTTACATTATTATTATCATTATGTTATTATGTTTGAATTTTTCTTGTAAAAACAAACAATGTTCACAAAAATGTTTTGCAAATTTCTGAAAAACATTAATGGTTTCAGTTCTTCAACAAAATAAGATTTCCTCTACCTCACATCTGATTCTTTCCAATATCAACACCTAAGTTGTCTGTAAAATGTGCAGTGTATTTCTCAACACTGTAGATTGACGAGACCTGAAAACATGTTACTTCTTTGTGACAAAAAAAACATCTTTTGCCATTAAGGTAAACCATGTTCTTTCGTTTTAAAGTTTACCTCATTATATGTTTAGAGCAATTTAGACATTACTGGCCTTATAACAATAGCGAATGGATGCTATCATAATCATACCCCTCATTATAGGTTAGCATCTTTTACCTTAGGTGGTCTTGAAGTACTTACTACCACCACTGTCGATAACAAGCATCGATTTATGACTTATTCACACAAAACAATGACATTGTGGTTTGAAAATAACGGAAGTTGAGTTTGTTTGACATGCAATGCCTAACACACGTACTGACGTCTATATCAACACGTGGGTAGTTTCAAGGTTTGTTGATCACTTTCCTGTTTTGATAGATTGACACTTTGTCATTTTTGTTTTACGTTCAAAGCCTATGGTATCCTGACCCTCAAACGCTAATTACAAACAGTTTGACCATGCACTTCAGTAACTTCACGTCATAACTTGCCCTTTGAAAAAACGCATCGACTTCTAGATGGTGACAAGAGTTTCCGGTTCTACGATAAGCATCTTAGGGGATTCACAGAAATATAACTTAAACAATAAAAGTTTCACGGTCTGTATGCGTGAAAGGAAAATTATCCTCCTCTTTTCTACATGTAGATACTTTATGACTAGTGTTTTCTACTTCTCTAGTCTGATTTGTGACTTGTAATCATTTCATAAAATCCCACACACGAAACCTATGAACAAAAAACTTTAATAACAAAGTTCTAAGTTATGTGGGCATGTTGAAGATATATTGTAGATTAAATCATCTCTTTGGAGCCTATGTTAGTGTATATGAGTTAACAACTTTCAGTGTAATACCCTTCTGGCTCTGAAAATCCAAAATCTTCTTTCCTACATGTGATTGTGTGAGATGTAATACCGGTAAGTTAATCCACAATTACGAAAAACTGTAGATCACAAACTTCTTCAAGCAAACTTGCAAGTTCCGTTGATGAGTTTTGGAACGAGCGAGGGATTACATTTTCTCCTTTTTCTAATATGATTTGTGTCTTTCGATTATCCAATCCAATTCTGCAAGAAACCTCTTGAAGCAGGGAAAAAAAATAATATTTATTTTTCGGGGGCTACTTTTCAACTTTGCCTGCATGAAAAATAACATTCTAAAATTTGTTTTGCATTGAACTCTATGCAAATTTAAGGGGGCTCTTTTCTGATTTACTGGGGCTGTTTTGGGCATTTCGGGGGCTATTTCGCCCTGAGCTCCCTGTATTTTTTCACTGTTTTGAAGGGCATGATCGAGCGCAGTGCTCATTCAAGGTGAGTGGTATTAGTAGAGCCTGAAGATGTCCGGTTTGCTTCCTTGAACAGGACACCCGTGTCGGGCAGGAAGTGGTTGGTGCTAAGTTGGGATCAAACACCGGAATGTTTACAATTTTTTCTCACGTTATCAAACCATTGATCATCTCCCACAACACAGGAAACAATGAACTGTTTTATAGTCTGTTTTCAATGGTAGCTTAAAGTTAAAGGGATACGGTACTACATTCTGTTAAACTAATCGGGCAAGGAGGTGGAGTTTGCCTCCCTCTGTTTTAGAAAAATTTAAATTTTAGTCATTTTATATGTTGGAAGGGAAGGGAAAGGAGTCCGGCACTACATCACATTGACTCCACGTTGACTATTTGGGTTGGATTTCCCTTTAAAGGTAAAGACCAGTATTGGAAACGCCCCAATTTCAAAAAATGAAATGGAAGCTCTCATTACCAATCATGTGAAAGAATATGTTTTGACTAATACATGATGATAAAACATTTGCCGGGAAACCGCCTACTAATTCATATATTTGATAAATTTGTTTCTCTCATGGTCTGTGAGAGATATAGGGTAGTCCCATATACATCTTTCTGTGTATAGTGCTTGTAACTTTACGAAGAATGGGCCAAATTTCTTATCATTTTGATGATTCCAGAACCTTGCAGATGCTAGATGCTAGATGATCAACCTTTTCTGATCGATTCCACAACGTTTCTTTTACAATTCAATCGCATGACCATAACTGGTCTTTACCTTTAATACTCTTCTGGCTCTACATGTAAGCTGATGATATAAACATGGTTGGTAAACTTGAAGGCATGAAAGTTCGAAGTTACAAATTATATTTATAAGAAAGAATTGTTTGATATCGGTACCTAAGCTTTTCGTTCTTTAAAACTGGCTCTAATTAACAGATGATTTGTTGGCAGGATGATCTAAGGGTTGTTTGAAATCAATCCTCTAATTCTAACTGAGTTAGAAAATTGAACACAAGGGATAAAATAGCATTGGTTCTATAAAATACAAAATATTCTGTCTTGAAGTGAACATTTTAACATTTTTAACTACAAATTGGTCTTTTTGGAAAGTATGTCCGAAAGAGAAATAACCACAAAAAACATCCTTTAGTGTGAGCTATAGAGAAATTAATAGTTCTAAAGCAACTTCCGAATCCAAAACATACCTTCATGTTCTGTCTGTCATTCACAGTTTGTCAGACTATTTCCGTCTGGTCTACTACATGTATTTAGTTTCCTCTCTCCTTTTCTTTTTGTTATTTCCATTTAGTACTTTAAATCAGATAAATTTCCTCTTTTCTCTTATTTTCTGTCTCTGTTGATCTCTGTTCCCTCCCCCTCTATATTCTATCTCTCTCTCTCTGTTTTCATATCAAGATAGGGTATGGACTCGGCGGCGAGTGTACTAGAAAAAGTTGAGTTGCTGAGAACAAGGAAAAGTGTTCTAATCAACCTCTAGACTACATCGAGATGAAATCATGGTAAAAAGAATGTACTTGTATTAAGCATTATGACCTCTTGACCCCACCCCCTCCTCCCGCCCTCTCTCTTTATCTCCATATTTTCTCTTAATTCATTACTTTTAGTGCTGTTCACCGTGTCGCTTTTATCACTAGCACTTCTACAATGAGGCTGCAATTTGTTTTACCATTTCATGTACGGTAAACACACTGCAAAATGCTGAAATACATAGACAAAAAAAAGGGAAAAAAAGGCGACTGCGTCTCCTATATGCCTCCACCCTAAATTCAGTATAAGAAATGAATGAAATTATTTGTGATATCACAATGAAAACAAAAAAGGTATATCTTGTGGTTCGTGAGAAATCACAATAGCAGGGCTAAAGCCTATAATTTCAGAAGTTAAATCAGAACCAAAATCTGATCAGATTGTCTTCCTATTTTAATACGTATTATCATGAAGTCTGAAGTTCATATCTCCAGTGGTTCTTGGGATATCACATTAACGAGAAAGCGGGATGGACTTACAGCGGGAAGGACTTACAGATGGATAAAAGGACACCCAAAAACATAATGCCTCTGGCACCACCTTCGGTCAGTGGAGGCATAACAATAAAACATGTATTTCTGATTTGCATGATCATGACCTAAATTTACCCACTAGGTAATTCTCACTATCATTTTAGATAATTCTTTAATTGGGTGAATACTGAACACGTCTTTTCATTTCCTTCCCTTGTCTGGTTTGAGTATTTGTTTACAATTTTTGAAAGGCTAATTGTTGGCAGGATGTAGGTAACTGTATAAGATAGTATTCATCCTCAATTAACGATGATTACAACAGATTAGTTTAGATTATATAATGAACTCTGACCTACTTCTAATATGGATGTATGTATATGGCACTGAATTCAGCAACTGGAATTGATCTTTTGAAACTTATATTCCACATTATTAGAAAAATAAATGACATGTAATTCTAGATGAATGCTTAAAAGGGACGTCTAGGAATGGAGAATAGGGTGATTATGATGAAACAGCACAGTAAGTCTGTAAGAACAAACCTTGAGTAAGTCATAAAAACACTACAGGCTTACAGTGCAGTGAAAAAAGTACACGGGGCTCGGGCGAATTTGCCCCCGAAATGCCCAAAAGAGCCCGCGAAAATCAGAAAAGAGCCCCTGTAAATTTACATAGAGTTCAATGCAAAACAAATTTAGAGTGTTATTTTTATGCAGGCAAGCTTGAAAAGTAGCCCTCGAAAAATAAATATTAATTTTTTCCCTGGGCCCTACAGGTTCTAAATTGTTTTGGCTGTAGAGTGTAGACTAACATCGAAAGTTGACCAAAAGTGTTACAAAATTTGTTAAATGTTTCAAGTTGATCCTTGTTCAGGCCACAACCTATTCTTTCCTGAAGACTATCATAAGGTTGGGTCGGGTCGGGTACAAACCTGGCAAAAAGGGACCAGGTTGAACTGCAACATGCAGGCTCCCGAGTGACTGTGGCTGCACGAACACTAGCTGTGTCATTCAGGGCTTTCGGATAGTCTCTTATGGCAAAAATTACCCCTGATTTTTCGCCCCCACTCAAAAACAAAACAGAGATTAACACTGAACCTCTTAAAGTGCAATCAGCAATTTTTTAATTGATGTTTCATTATCCTCATACT